GGGGGGGGGGGCATGGCAAGCTCCCACAGGCAGCGGTGGCACTGTCAGCGGTGGGAGTGTGGCAGCAGCAAGCGGGGAGCTCCTGCAAACACTGCTGGCGGTGTCAGTGGTGAAGTGGGGGAGGTGGTGAGTGGCAACTACCTGCTGGCATTGCTGGCAGTGTTGATGGTACCTTTTTGCGAGGAGTGCACCACAAAGCTCAGGGGGTGCACGTGCACCTCCTACGCATGAAGATAGCCCCTGTGGATAAGACCTAATGGACACCATCCTGCAATAATATACAGAGCTGAACTTCCAGACATGTGTCTTCAATTTAAAATAATTCAGCAATCATGTTCAACCAGAACCTGACTACACAAAATGGGACTTTGCACGTGCACCTCCTACGCATCGCCAGTGGGTCTGGGTGTGGTGCAGAGTGTCTGGCAGCTGGGGTCCTGTGAAAAATTCAGTTGTCTTGGTCCTGTGTCTCTCTGGAGCCCTGTGCTATGGGGCAGGGCCATAGAGAGAGGCTGGGCTGTTTTGCTGACAGTGAGTAGAGTTTGCTTCAGGCTTGGAGGGAGCACTGGAGATCTGTGAGGGTTACAGTATGTCTTCCTGAAGGGGAAGAGAGGGCTATGAGCAGGGATCCTGGTTTTCTGTGATACCAAAATCCCCAATTTTCAGATTTAAAAAAGTAACCCAAAATCCAAAAATATAATAAATATAGATATCCAAATATCCCCAATAAAAATCCCCACTATATATAAAATAATACTCAATTTTCAGATTAAAAGTAACCCAAAAATATAATAAATATCGATATAAAAATATCCCAAATAAAAATCTCCAATATATATAAAAATCCCCAATTTTCAGATTAAAAAAGTAACCCAAAATCCACATTTTTCCATGATTAAAATGAAACACCATTCTGTGTGTGTGTGTGTGTGTGTACGTGCGCGCACGCGCGCGCATAGTGTAGGATTTGGATGTGGATTTTGAGTTACTTTTTTAATTTGAAAATTGGGGGGGTTTTATATATAAATATATAAAAGTTTGTAAAAATATATCTATAGATAAATATATATCTGTAGCTAGTGGTGTTTTAATCATGGAAAATGTGGATTACCATCTCTTCACCATCACGTCCCCCTTCAACTTCAAGCTTCTCTTTTCTAAACTGACTAGGCCTAGTCTCCTTAGATAGATATATAGTGGTGTTTCATTTTAAGTCTGGAAAAATGTGGACTTTGGGTTGCTTTTTATAATCCAAAAATTGGAGATTTTTTTTTTTTTTATCAGAGTAAACCATGATCCCTGGTTATGAGCAATGCACACTGGGATGCAGGAGGGCACCACTGCCATTGCAATCAGTTGGAAACATGTACAAGTGTTCATTCAAATGCTTGTGCCGCAATCAGTTACTACTTCAACTTCATCTGACAGTGGAGATTTCCACTGCATGAGACATTTTTCAAGTGGATGAAATGCTTTGTATACTTATACACAGGTAATTTCAACTGATGGAACTGTAATTCCATGGGTTAAAATGTAACATTTGTATGTACCCTATATAGCCACAATGGGAACACGTATGAGGCTGCATGTCTGCCCCGCCAGTACATGGCCTATTGTGCATGCTCAGTCTATATGCTCACACTTCCTTGTTCACACTGCAAGGGAAAAAGAATTGTAACCTGAGCATAAGTGTCAAAAATGCCACCTAGGCAGCTAGATAGCTGCCATTTAGGCATGAAAAGGGAAACAGAATTCCCAGGGATTGATAACACTCTCAATCAATAACACTCTCAGAGAACAACTGGTGTCCAGGGTGACCTGGAGTGGGCAGCCCACCACCTGTGCAGTTGTCATGGGATGGTCCCAGCCCTCTACTTCCTTGCTGCATCCAAAACTGCAG